AATTGGAGCACAGAATTGGAGGTTTTGCAGAATAAACTGTTTTTGAAGGCTGTTATCGATGAAGATGCCTATGTAGTCTGTCAGTAATTCATTTCAACCACTAGATGGTGTAACAGTATCTTTTGAATCCTGTAAAGCCACTTCAATTTACCATCTTAGTGTGTTAGAGCTCAGTAAATAAACCAATGCATTTGCAGTTTGCTTCATTTAAGAGTTAAAATACATTGTTGTTGTAAATTTCACCCCCACACGCTCAGTGCAGTGAGTTCTACGTAAGTTTTGTCCTGTTATTGCACCATGGCTTTACTGGAGCCTGAGCTAATGTGTTTAGATTTTGGCTTGATATACGATTCTGATCCATGCCAAGAATGTGACCCAAGAAGCCCTTTAAAATAATTATGTCTGGAATAAAGCTGAGTTTCAACAATTTGGATTCTATTTAATTAAACATCTTTCCCAACTCTGGGAATGTATTATTAGACTAATTTAGAAAATTTCAGATTTTTACTGCTAAATAAATTTAATCGAATGCGATTTGTTTCTGGTCCACAAACTCTAGAAATGTTATAGATTAAAGTCATACCAACACAGAGGCAGCAGTCCGAATCTGAGTCGACTGTCATTAAAAAAACCTGTATCACATCATGTATCCTATTTAAACCGCTAAAGTCTCTGCCCAATTCTAGACTCTCTCACATCTGCAGCCACTTATGAATACAGCAGCTACAACAAACTTCTGCTAACTGAGGAGACCAGACACTGTATTTCCTGTTCTGTCATCAAAACGAAGTGGTAGAGTTGCTAGAGTTGGTGGAAAAAATGTTGCTAATCACATTAAAGAATTCAGGTTGGAGCATCCCTCTGTCTAGACTCAATTTAACCTAATGCAAGTCCTGGATATCTTCACAAGAACAACAATAAGCTATTGTTTAAATATATGTAAACATCAGCATTTATTACTAATAGTGCTGTTATTTTAATTCTTGCTCCTACTGTTTTTTTTTTTAGGGTTAGGGTTATCTTGTTATCTTTAAATGATAAACCAGATAACGCTACTTTTATGTTGACTTTGTTGTTAGTAGCTAAAAGACAAAAGCAGAAATAGAGCCTTTTAAAGTGCTGTAAGCTCTTTAGTTTTCTCCTCCACTGGCCTGGATAGAAAACATTTCTGTGGTTCCATCTGTTGTCCTCTGCGGCTCTTTGAGCTCACGTCTCTCTTGAGCAGATTTAGTCTAGGAGGCTCTTTTGTTTCTCACTGTTATGGTGTAAAAACAGTGGGGTCGATCGCTCCTCCGGCTCTCTCTCCCCAGGCAGTCGTGAAGCCTTTTCAACAGACCTCCATGACTCATGCCATTCATCACAGTGAGTGTAATCATATATCCAGGACTCTTACAGTGAACAGTGGTACAGCAGACGGTTAGAGGGTCCTCCAGTTCAGTGACTAACGCTGACTCCACAGTGTTCTGAGGTCATACGTCTTAACAGAGGAGACTCATTAGATCGTGTGATGGCTCTCAAGGCTTGAGTTGAGAATAAACATGTGCTTCATGCCAACCACAAGAACAATGAAAACCATCTGAATATGTTGGTCACTAATGGCTTTAACAGACTTAAATGTCTGTTAATAAGCAGCTGAAACTCGAGGAGCACACTTCTCGTGGCTCAAATGGCTTTTTGTTTGTTATCGCTGGGCTGCGATTGCTGCTTAGATGAGCTTGTTTCTGTGAAAAAAAACCCTCATTAAAATAAATCTAGTTTTCCCAATCCCAACACTCGCTGGCGTGCTTCACAGCTGAATAAATTATCTTTCCACAGTTTGTTTGAGAAGGAGAGTGGAAACCTAAAGCTGTCTGCTCACTGAGCTCTCCCAGACCCCAGCAAATGATCATCCATCTCAAACAAGTGTCTGTTGAGCTTCAAGTCAAAAGGCCACTTAGAAGCGGACTTAGCTATGGACTTCTTTGACAGTCCCAGTTAGGGCAAGAATTAGTCACGGTGCTTATTTTCAAAGAAAACAGCTGCACGTCCTGTCTGTTGACTTGCTGGTTGACACTGACTTGAGGTTTTTTGCAGGATAATGAATCACTCTCACGGACATTTCCCCCAACAGCACATGTCTTTTAGCAACTAACAACTCAGTGTGCACAGAGCCAGCTTCTTCCAAGAATCCTCCGAGCCCGGTGCCATTTTGGTGGTGGGATTCGTAGACAGCGACGCTTCACTCGGCGACAAAGAGAGCTTTCACATCTGAAACCTCTGGAGGACCACACAGCAGCAGCGCTCGGCCATCTTCACTCTACAGGCGCGGTTTTCGAGGTGGTATACAGGCCTGAGTGTGGTCCCCTCAGCAGTGGATGTCACCTTCGCTGTTCTAATGTATGACTGCTCAGCGGTCTGGTTTTTGTGGGCTAATCATGCATTCCCATGTTGCCATTAAGCTGCTGAAAATGTGAAGGGTTCAGTGTGTGCAGGGCAGAGTTATTGGAAGACTTGAGGTATAGCTGAACATTTATCCCACACTGGCAGTCTGAGGGGCGGCTTAGCACCATGTGTCTGAGAGAGAGAGGCAGGTTTGTGACAAGACGGTGGCCTGTTATAGTCTGATTCCTGGACCCACCTGGAATAATGTGGGCTGAAGTTGAACCAACTCTCTCATCATTGTCATCAAAAGTTGTTGGAATGGTTGGATAAAAAGAAAATGTATTTTATTCCTGAATTTACAGTAGAGCTGAACATAGCAAGACAGGATGGACACATTATCCAGTATTCCTGAATCCACAAAAGAAGGAACAGTGTTTAGCATCTAGTGATAAAGTTGCATATTGGAACTAGCTGAATACACCTCATGCACCTGCTATTTTCAAGCATATAGAAGAAACAATTGTGTCCTTCAGATAGCATAGAAATGCAAAAAACATATTTAAAAACTGTGCAAAAGGACCTGCTCCCCATGTGGATATAAACAGGTTGTTGTATGGTAATACACTATAGTTTCAGGTGATTGCAAACTAATGACAAGATAATTATTATATTTAAATTCTGCCAAGATTATATGTAAATCCTACACACTGGCCCTTTAAAGAACCGATGTGCTCAGCTGGCTGGTTGAGCAATAAATATCATAAAAGTGAGTGTCTGCCCTTGACCTTTTCATCCGTACACACCCAGATTAAATGGCTGGCGTGAGTTGATTTTCTGCTCTCATATGTTCACTTACATTTGCATTTTTACTTAATTTACTGAAGATCTTCCTGCAAGTAAATTTTGAGAAATGCCTTCCTGCCAAGAGTGAGGTAAGATCGATACTGTACGCTATGATGATGATGTCTGTATGCTAAATATGAAGACTGCAAGGAAGGGGACACAGCTCTCTCTGTCAGAAATCCACCAAAAATGACCTCTGAAGCTCACTGTGGTCTGAGTCTCTCTGAAACTGAAAGACCAAGACTTACTGGCTTTGTTTCCAGTCTTTATGTTAATATAAACCAACCACCTGCTGCCTCTGGTATCAATCATCTCATTTTACTCTCAGCAAGAAAGAAATTAAGTTGTCAGACTATTCCTTTAAGTACAAAACCAATCCTAGTTTAGGTGTCATGGCATAGATAATGCTGTCATTGTTTCCTGCAATGTCATCCATCCATCCATCATCTATACTGCTTATGTTTTTAAGGGTTGTGGGGGAGCTGGAGCCAATCACAGCTGGCATTGGTCAAGAGACAGGGTCCAGCCTGATCAGGTCACCAGTGTATCACAAGGCATAAATACAGAGACAGAGAACCATTTTCACTCAACCCACAGAGTATCCAATTGTCTCTGAACTGTGGGAGGAAGCCTGAGAAAACCCCTGCAGACACTCCACACAGAAAGAAACCTACTTGCTGAGAGGCGTCTTTCTCCTCTGCCAGTGTAGCTTTATTTGCATCTTACAAAGGGTGTTGGATCAACATTCCTGAGGTGGGTTGTGGATGCAGAGCGGGTCATCCACTGACCAGAACGTTGGCACTTTGATCCCTGTCTCCCCATTCTGCATACACACCTAATAAATGACACATGACAGGAAAGTGCTGCACATAGATGCACTGTGTGAATGGGCAAATTTAACAACTATAGTGTAAAGTGCTGAGTGGTCATCAAGCCTGGAAAAACGCTAGAGACCTGCTCCACCACTGCAAACTTTCAATCTCTGAAAGCTCAGCTCTCAGGAAACAGAGGTTTGAAGCTGTGACAAATTCAAGGTGTAAAAACATTCACTGCACTTCAGACAGTGAATAATAAATACAGTTCAGACAGTGGGAAAAAATGTAGTGAAAAAGATTCACATTCAGGTTGTCAGCTAGATTTGAACTGACTACTAGTCATGTTGTTTTTGCACATTCAAAATGACAACACTGCAAGTGCAATTTAAAATAAATTGGGGGTTGGGTTTCAGATCCATTTATCCAAAACACTTCACAGTCGACATTGCACTTCAGAAAAACCCACCAAGTTTGAAGTTCATCACATGAGTACTGGAGACAATCTAAGGACAGACAGAAAAGATGGAAATCTGGATTTATTAGTGGTGCGACTCGTCCTTGCCCAGCCAACCACAGAAATGTGCAGCCACTTGAGAAGAGATGTCTTTGCGTCGTGTTCATCCGTCTCCCTGTTTCATACCAAATGAAAACACAGAACCAGGAACATTTTTTAAGAGATCTGTTATTTCTGCAAAACTCGAATGCTGCAGAGTTTAAGAAGGGGAACTTGTACAGCACCTCCCTCTGTCAGGAAGAATTATAGGTTCTGTTTAAAACAACAAGTTATCTGCCTGACTCACCCCCACAAGATAAGACTCAAATGTGCACGTAATCTCAACAAAGACTTAAAACTAACAATGTCATGTATCAATTACAACTTTATAAATCAGACCATGAAACGAGCTCTCTGTGAACATGAGAGTCCCACTAAATATTGACTCTTAGTTGTGTAATGTTGTTCTGCCAAGGACTCTGACTCATTGGTTTTATTGCTGTTTTATTTTAACGTTGTAATGTCATTTTTATTGGATGCTGCTTTTTCTTTTACATGTCCATAAACATGTTTCCATGTCCAGCCAAGTCCAGCAGAAGTTTGTAAAAGACATGGGTGTGAGGGCCATTGTGGTCAATGAGGAAATACCAGCAGAATACGAGGGTCTATTTTCAGCACAAAGGCTGTTCGTCTTTTCGTGTGTGTGAACCAACCCTGTTGTTCAAAGAAGACCCACCAGTTCAAACACCAGCCTCCAGCTCCCCCTCCTCTCTGGATGGAGAGGCTTCCCCCAAAGGATACTGGTTTCCTTCCATACACTGGCGATCGCTGAACGCAGGAGCCTGTGACTTTGTCAATGAAAGATATTCTTTATGAAAACATACAGATCGAGCACTTTTCGTGCGGAAAGAATGTACATTTCTCTGTATTTAAAAGGAAGAGGGGGGGAAAAGTAACTTGGAAATTTGGACCCTTTCCATCCCAGTTCATCTCCTCCCTCCCTCCACTCTCCTTCTCTCCCTCCATCCTGTCTGGCTCTAGGCAATGTGTTTCTCGTTGTCTGTCCTAATGCCTATAACTCAGCACGCTTGGTCGGCATATTTTTCATGCTCCAAAACCACTCAAAACAAAAAATAATTCCATCTCCTTTCTCTTGCTCTCTTTCTTTCAACGTTGCTTGTTTTTCCAAGAGTCATACTGAAATTGAATCAATGGCCCTAATGAGAAAAACATTAAGAACAATTTGCGAGCACACTTTGAGAATAATTGTCACATATACCGAGGAGGAAATTAGTTCTATTTTCTGCAGGAACATTCACTGCCCCCTCAGGATACCTGTTCCTTTTTTCACTGTTATGATTAGTTCATTGCACACATAAATTATAGTTTCAGGTCACGTGTACTTGGGCAAAGTACTTTAACATACATTATAAAGGATATATCATGTGTAAGGAGTAAAAATGAAATAAAACATGGGTTTAAACCTCTTTCCTTTTTCCAGCTTCTGAAGATGTTGGTCTTTATAAATCTGGAACTGGATACAGAGTCTAAATAAATCTAAATAGATATTAACACAATGTATTTTCCAGCTCCCAGCAAGAGTAGCACAAGTTCAATATGATGAGGGAAAGATTCCCCCTGACGTTTATCTTGGCGAGGTAGGAAGAGATGCATGTAGATCCTGTGACACTAAAGCTTATGAATGAAATCAACACCGATGAAGTTGTGTGAGGATGTGGCGCCTCCTCTCCACGGGGTGACCTGGTAATGAGGGAAAAAAATATGGTTTCTTTATCATAAAGGCAGCTTGGATTATTAAACTACAAAATGTAGACCATTATGTTTTATTACCCCCCCACTATCATGTGTATTTGGTGGGAAAATTAGTTTTATGGCTTATTATAAATAGTAATGTCCCATAAATCCCTCTATGTGTGCTTCTATTTTATATAATATATATATATGGACAATGTTCAAACAGTCTTTTTCTATAACAGGAGGCTTTTCAAGTCACTACCAATGGTCAAACTCCATTGATGCAGTTTTATCTTGGATCAACCAGTTGCCGATGACACAGAGTCAAGACTTGAGTCAGAAGTGTGCCTTGGCCTCCACAGCTGCCCGTGGACCGGCCCGGCTTACATGGTCTCCTCAGTCTATGGGCCTGATCATCATGCGGACAGTTTTCATGGAGTAGAAGCCTCCCCCATAGTCGGCCCAGAAGATCCCGTCCTGGAACTTGCTACGGTAGACGCCTCCATTGTACCAAACTCCGTTAAGGTTGGCTTGGCCGCAGGCGTTGTACCACCAGCCTCCTTTATGGAAATGGGCACAGTTACCTGTGGTGGGAGGAAAAGGAAGAGGGATAATTAGATCAGTGAGGGGATTCAAAAAACACATTTGTTGTTGTCTGCAGAATATAATGATGAATAACATTTTATGCAATTCAATGCTTTTACTTAATGGTGAATTATGAGTCACTGCCTCTGCCACTTTGAATCTCCTCTGTTAAGACGTATGACCTCAAAACACTGTGGAGTCAGCGTTAGTCACTGAACTGGAGGACCCTCTAACCGTCTGCTGTACCACTGTTCACTGTAAGAGTCCTGGATATATGATTACACTCACTGTGATTAACTGACCCACCACTGCATCCACGTTTTTGATATCAGTTTGTTTTTGTTACATCACCGGGGAAATTTTGCAACCATTCACAGTGGTGGAATGTAACACAGTAAAAATACTCATTACTGTGCTTAACTTACTTATTTATTAATTTTTGGGTACTTTTCACATTTAATCCACTACATAAATCAGGAAATATCTGTACTTTACTTACATGTTGACATTGGTTTTTATTTTTATTCAAAGGTAATCAATAACGTGAGGGGAATTAGTTTAATGATCCAATCAGAGCAGGCAGGTAACATTAGACAGGAGAGGCAGAGACTCAGCCACAACAATGTAGAATGTTGCATTAGGAAATAGACTACACTCAGCAAGTACTTTTACTTTCAATACTTAAATTCATATAAATTATATTTAAAATACAGTACTTACTTTTACTCAAGCAAAAAGTTGTGGTTGTGGTACTTTTACTTTACCTAAATAAATTTTTGTATGTGCATTAGTTTTTACTAAAGTAAAACATACTTCCTTCACCACTGCTATCTGTGACCAGACATATGAAACCATATTTATTTGATTTTGACAATAAAGAAAAAAGAACTTCCTTGAATGTCACTACTTCTTTGTAGGATGTGAACATGTAAAATGATTCACTCTAGTTTCACAGATATAAAACCATATAATTCGAAGGTCACGAAACTAAAAAAGAGACAAAGGGAACTTGTGTTCATCTACCTGAGAAAGCATCCTTGTCTCGATCCAGTGTAGTGAACTGTTTGCCGTTGTGGCTGCTGAGTGAGTCCCCGGCGTTGCCCTGGTAGGTGCCCAGCCGCAGGCGGTAGTCCTCGCTCTGTGGCTCCAGGTGGAAGCTGCTGTACTGAGCGTATACCTTTTTGCCCATCCAGTCCTCCAGCTCCACCAGCAGCTTGTAGTCCCCCTGCCTCCCTAGATTGTAGATACCTTCCAGACCGAGCCAGTACTCCCCGTCTATGTTGCCAAAGCCGCTCTGAGTCAAAGGAAGATTAAAAGGAAGGTTACAGAAAAAATAACAGAAAATAATACACAGTGTTTGTTATGCGGCAGCACTGGGGTGTTTAGAAACACGAGAATTGTTTAGGAACTTTGGAAGACGGCGTAGGATTGTTAACAGAACAAATGAAAATTTTCCCTTTGATAACATTTTGCTCATGCATCTGTAGTTAAGAAAAACTTCAAAAGATAAGACAGACTAAGGAAAACAATGCCACCCTCTCTTTGACATTCCTAAGAAAAACATGCTGGAAAAGTTTGTGCTGGAAAATAAGCATCAATCTTCAAAATGCTGGTTCATTGCTCAAACCCCACAGATCTCTCAGATCGAAATTGGAATGGGTGCTTGTGTTGAATAACCTCGAGCAATCTACATCTGGCCATGAGCCTCCAGAACACTTCACTTGGTAAAGGAGGCTGAGGTTTGTGATTGTGGATTAGTCGAGTGAGCCAGGAGATGATGAATGATGTATGGTTTCAGTCTGGGGCCTCCTCTCCGAGGCAGTGTGTGTGTGTGTGTGTGTGTGTGTGTGTCTGTGTGTACATGTGGTGGCTTTGTGGGAGAGTGCAGAGGCAAATCAATGTTGAAGAGACCATTTAGCTTCCAGTTACACATGCACAAGCCTGGCCAGGGTGAATGGAACACTGGATTTCTGCGGCTGCCAGCGGCGATATCCTCCATCTCACTCAGAGCTTTGATGAGACGGCTCTATACGGTGTGGTGCAGTAAGCCAAGCAGCCATCCATCCAGGAAGGCACCATAGTAGCAGCGGTTTTGGAAAGAAACGCCTGCAGATTGAGCTGTGGAACATACCTTCCTCAGCGGGCCATCTAATGTTTCATAATGGGGATCTCAAACCAAACGAGCAGACTAACAGTGATGCTGATGTTCGATTTTGCAGTAAGTGAAAACACAAGGATACTGCCCTAGATATAGCCCCTAACACCCGAGATCATTGACACAACTGTTGTCTCTGAATGAGCCAAGTATTCAGAAATATTGGCCCAAGAGAGAAGAGATAAAAAGAAGACAGAACATGTGAGGAGACGTGACATTATTATCACCTTGTAGTTCTCCCAGTTCCTGAAGAAGTTAACAGATCCATCCCTCCTGGTCTGGATCACAGTCCAGCCCCCGTTGTCTATGTCTTGTTCACACCAGACCTGCACCGGCCTCTCTGCTTCATCTGGTCTGATCAGGTACATGCCGCTGGTGCTGTGGCCGGCTTCCTGCGCCTCCAGACAGTCTCTGAATGGGCCTGAAAAGCAAGACACATCAATAATATTTCCTTTACAGCAAAATTCCTTTTTAAACGTGGGTAAAAACCTGCTAAAAAGGCAAATAGCTCCTTTTCCCATAAAACCCCATCACCACCGCATGGAATTCGAAAGTGAAAGTCAATTGTATCCATTCCCATTTTAGACAAATATCAGATGTTAGTGGGTGATAGTGGGTTTTTTGAACTGTGGAAATGTGCATAAGAAAGATGGTGGTCACAATTGCACAAAATCAGATACTGTACTCCATGTTTGAAAAACCTAAGAGGAGCCAAACTAAGATAGTCAGCAGGACTCATTTATGTGGTGTTACCTTTACACTATTATGGGTTAAAAAAAATTTAAATATATATATATATATATATATATATATATATATATATATATATATATATTGTGTGTATATATAGTATTACAAATATACATTTCTAAAAGCATGAAAATGTAATTTCAGGAAACAGGTGGGATAAAGTAGATAAATCCGCCTTAGCTAACTGGATAGTAGAGTGACTGCTGTTTTGCTCTGACGGCATTTGCACACATTTTTTTCATGCAGATTTTTAAATAATATGTTATGGGAGTTGTTGACAATGTCACATCTTGAAGCAGTGGCAATAGAAGAAAAATCACTTCCTCCTCTGTCAACTGCTCTATAAAGCTTATTATTTTTAGCTGTTATTTTTGTCTTCAGGATATGATGGAGCAAGGATCAAGCAACAAGACCCAACTCCTGTCAAAGAAATGAATCAACATGTGTACAACAAACAACAAACAGGACCTTTGTCAAATTAAAAACTCTAAGAACTGTTGCAGCAGCTCTTCAAACTCTCCAATGCACATTATGAAATAGATCCTAAAGTAATTGTGTGAGAGTTGAAGCTCCTGAACCAAGCAATAACACTCACCCAGCTCTTCAATATTGGGTATTAAAGATCTCAACTCAAGCTTGAACAAATATAAAGTGGCTTTATTGTGCCTTTGTGGGCCAGTTTTAGACATTTTTTGTTCTAGAACACTGAAACAAACACATCAGTGCTATGGGTGATGAAGAAAACACTCTGTCTGACAGAAGTTAAATGAGAAGACCAGTAAACAAGAACAAAACCACAAAGACAAAATAATAGAAAACACATTTATCTGGGTTCACAAAGATACCCTTGTTTACCATGTCTTCTCAGAACAGCAAAGAAGAATGCGGCTACTTAAATACTTTTTTTAATAAGAAACTTACTACTTGCCTACATTTTAGGTTAAAAAACGGTCACCCCTGTGATTAAGTGGTGAGAGTGTGCCCCTTTTCAAGATAATTCTCATTACAAGAATTTTAATTAAAAGCACATGTAGCACTGAGTTTACTGAAAGGGCCACATAACCCTCTACCTGGGCCCCTGCTATTAATATAATAATGTAAACAAGTCCATTCACTACATGAAACTTAACAGGAGCTTATGTTATGCCAACCTGGGTTTTGTCTACATCTCACATGCAATATAACAATCTCATGGATGGATAATTTTCATAAACAGCTGTGCTGAATTCCTACACACTTTATTATTCTTGGGCAAGGCCAATCTAAATGTGTCAGGAAATTCTGTTGATGAGAACAAAATCACACCTGTTAGGTCTTTCTTTGCTTTGCTTTAAGTCTCCTGCCTAAATTCAGACGTTACAACATCTTTATTTCCACTCTGGTTTGTGTTCTTTCTGTTGAGCTGGGAGCACAGTTCCAGCTGAACTCGCAAATCTTTAACCTTTCAAAATGAGGCCACTGGCCCACCTGCCGCTGTATTCAAAGTCAGAGATTATTATTTTGTTATGGTTGGCCTGCAAAGTCAGAGCAGCTCCAACTTTTATGCTGACTGTTTTAGATTTTCGTGAGTGAATTAAGGATTGAATGAATGAAAAATAACAAAGCGGTACATGGATGGATGGATGCATAAATGTATGGATAGATAAATACATTCTCTCACTTACCTTCTGCACTGAAGTTCCTCTCGGGAGGTTTCAGGACTTCCAGGGTACCACTTGTGGGTGATGGCCCAGAGCGAGAGCCCCTTTCCCGCACAAACCCTTGGGTGTTGTCCCTCTGGATTTCATTGGTGAAACGTGGCACATTGACAGGAATGTTTTCAGGCACCACCTGCACTAGTGGAGGTCCCATGGGTGGGTGCTCATGCCTGCGGCTGTACACTTGCATACACTGCTCCTCCAGTGCTCCAATCAGTACTGACTGGTTGTTCACCACTGCTGACAGGGCTGAGTATTTGGCCTCCAGTTCCCTGTACCTGGAGGCCAGACGTAGTGACTCACTGGTTGCATTAAGGATGCGTGTCTCCAGCTGTGCCAGCTCCAGTGAGTTGTCCCTCTTCCTGATGATCTCATGCAGCAGCTGCATGTAGAGTTGGGTCACCCTTGAGTTCATGTTCCTGCTCTCTTTCCTCAATAGCTTCATCTCATTCACCAAGTTGCCATCCACGTCGACCACCAACTTCAGAGTCTCCATCTCCCGACGTTGCTTTGACAGAAGGTCGCGCACTGCAGCCACGTCCAAGCGCGTCACTCTGTCCTTGTCAGTGGAGTAACCGCGAGCAGCACAGATGGGGCCTGTGATCTTCTGCTCAGGGACCAGGAAGGTGTAAGAGCATTTCTTGTTTTCTCCGTTGGCCTCTGGTGCCCTCCGTATGCGAGAGAGAATGGGGTTTTTGGTGAGGGCATGGCTGTTGCTCCAGAGGGCCAAACCAAGCAGCACAAATAGACTCCACGTTCCGGGGCCCATGGTTCTTCCTCTCTTTATCACCAAACTACAGATCTGAAAACAGGACAGTTGGTGTTATTCTATTTTGTAGGCTGTTCATTTTCAATAAATTCCATCAAAAAAGATTATAAGTGTCAATCTCTCAATACTTAACAGCTCCCCTACGCTTCCTCTAGGATTTAACTCCAACTCCATTGGTTCCTACAGAATAGGTCAATATTTGTGCTTTAAAACAGCTGATGATAGCCAATGGGTCAGTGATCCATTAGAGTGAATGTTTCAAAAACGATTTGATGGTTGAACCGACATGCATGGTCTCCACCAATGACTTTTTTACAAAATACCTGAAAAACTAATAATGTTCTTCAGCTTTATTTGGAGTTACTGCTAATTAGCATTTTTTATGAACAGCATTGGCATAGCTGGGGAATATTTTCCTATGTGGACCAATAAACAGTTTGTGGGACAGGAGGAGCCTATTAACAGCATTGGAAAGGAATTGCCTCAAACTAAACTATAATATACTGATGTTCATCATAATGTCGCCCAGTGCAAAAATGAGTGGTTCACTAAGGTAGAGTAGTTTTTGGAAACCAGCGGCGATCTATGACACAGTGGCACTATGACATCTATAACACAAAAAATGTAATTCTTTGGCTTCACCGATAGTAAACTACTTTTAAGTTGATTGGTTTTAGTATTACCTTTTGATTTGTAGACATGAGAGAAATATAGTATATCTTATTCTTTAATTTGGTCTGAGGGTTTTATTTTATTTTTTGGTTGCACTCATCTTTTACTTTCTGTTCAATTTCCCACCAGGCACTCTGTAAGAATAACACATTTTTATGCAGATTATTCTTTTCTTGTCTTACCCAATATATTCCAATATAACCATAGTGCTGGCAAAGTTAAAACAGACCAAGAGCATCTGTTGACAAAAAGCTTGTGGTCATGATTCAAAGCACAAGACTTGCTTGATTCTGAAGTTAGTGAACTTTTAAATGTAAAGTCAAAAGTAGCAGTGTGTTGTTGCAGACCCTTCTGTTCCAGGCAGGATGTGCCATCTGATTTGCTTGTGGTGGGGTAAGAACAGTGTCACCCACCCACCCACCAAATCTATTATTGTAACACATATTTTCAATAGATTCCCTCATGTGTTGTCTTTCATTAAGGCCCTCACCACATGTGTATCAGGTGTCTGGGTGTGTATGTTTCTCCACACACGCCATTAACCTCCACCATATCCTTTCAGCTTACCTGCACTCGCTCGTGAAAAACAACATTTGAGTTTGAAAAAATTGAAATTGAACATGAAAATAAATTGTGGAAAATTGGGTTTGTGCAGCCATGGATGACTCCACATCCACTGTCAGTCTTTAATGGATTCTTGATTTGTAGAACTATCAGTAGGGAGCGCCATGATAGAAAACAGCCGGTACTTATCACTGGGACTTTCTGACTCTTTGTCAATTCTGCCTTCTCTGCCTGAAGGGCACATACAGAAAAATGTGAATTTGATGCGGAACAAAACAAATTGATATGTTGAGAGGGGGAGGAGGAATCCCTGTGAGTAATGTTTTCTGGAGTCTATTTTTGGATGGAAAAGCTTGTGTGTTGATCTTAGTGGTTTTGACAGCACAACGAATTGAGCAGGAGTGGGTGATGTTCAAAAATGCACGTTAAGTAAAAGATCCCACCTTCTATATCCAATAGGGAGGTTTTGCTCTGGGAGCCAGGGCTACCGGCGAGCCAACTGCAGGCTGATTTTGGCGGCCGTGCCAAGGAGGTTAAGTAACCTGCGTCAACACTTCTGACGGGCAGACACTATGACCCACTTCATATCTGAGCACATCAAAAACCAATCCAGTGAGGATTTTAACAGATGGCAAAGAGACAGGATTAAATGAGCCCAAGACAGAGACAGCAGGGGCTTTGAATCTTTTCTTTGGCCGCCTATTGATGTTTAGTTGCACTGAGGAGTTCTGACCACAATTAATGGGACAGATCCCAGAGCATTACCTAAGCTCAAACTGCTGCCGTAGCAGAATAGTACACTTTATCATTGTCATAGGCAAAAACAAGCGTGTCTCACGGGGAAAATATAATACAAAGTTTTGTGTTTTTCTTAAACACAATGGCCTCTTTACAGAAAGTACAGAAAGTACCTAAGCCAACAATTATTTTATATGTTGTTGCAGCAAGCTTTTTGAAACTGCCCTGAAGCCTGTATTTTAGTGTTTACATATGGAACAAGCTGCAGTTTGTTTTGTCACAAATTATAAAGCATCTGAGAGCAGAGGGAAAGTGCACTTTGAGGAAAACGGGCCATGTGTCAGCACTCAGAGACACCTTGGCACCGTCACTCAGTTATTAATACCCAGAGAGAACTTTTCTCTGTTTTTCCGTAATCACGGGTCATCACCCTTTCAATAGCTCCGTCTCAGCTATTGGCCCGTCTTCACGTCTCCAACCCCACAATATGAATCTCACAAGCCCCTGACCTGACAGGAGTGACAGTGTTTACTCAGAGGGCTCCTCAGCCAGGCCTGTGAATCTCATCTGGAGCTGCCACCACCCGGTCTCTCTCTGTCGTTCACACCCTGCTGGTCTTCATCATGGCGGCCGCAGCAGACATTTTTTTATTTTGTTGACTTATTGGAAGTGTATTTTCTCCTCTACTTTCCCTCACTCCGAGCCAGATTTGACCAGATGCAGCCACCTCATCTATATTAATGCTGTCCTCACAGGTCAAACTTTGCGGTGGCTGCTTTTCCCAGCCCAGAATAACTTGGAGGACAGAGCCAATCGGCCCATTGACTCTAATTGCTACCACTCAGCTCTGTCTTACTGGTAAACTCCTCAATTAAACGTTTTTTTTAATATTCAAGCCCAGAAAAGGCTTACACCACATTTGCACCCCTAACTTTCTTTCCAACTTCCCAACTTTGTTGTGGCATTTGTTCTCGTCCAAAAGATTTTTAAGACTTTGCCAATTAACCCACAACTTATTCAATGGTGCGACTGATGAGATCCATCTGCTGACATGATGCATTAGCTTCACATATGGTAATGGTTTTGAATGTGATACAGGTTTTCAGAATAAATATGAATGACTTAGAGAGCTCAAATGTTTAATTCAAATTAATTTTAATTTCATAATTGTTCCATTGCTATTTTATTAAGCATCCTGGATGTGAAGCAGATCCAACTTTATTCTAACAGTGTTCAAAATTACATTGACCTTTGCTTGTAAATTTGGGGATTTAAGAGGATAAAGAATATTTACCAAGGCCACATGGGTTTGATGAATTACCTGATCACAAAGGAGCAAAAATAATAATCTTACCTGTGTCAGTGAGTGAGTTCAGTCAGTGGTCCGGGATGTGCGGGTAAGACCCAGCCTAGGCGTCTCAGTTGTGGTTCCTACGTAAGTTCATGCTCTCCATTCTCCTCCTCTCACTCCCAGGCTCCCTCTGTGTGTCGCTCTCATTGAGAATGAAGGTCTGCACACAGCTATGGTACAGGCAAACACCGTCCACCGAGGGAGAGAACAGAGGAGGGTGGTCCGTACCCAGAAAGAGGGAGGCTGATGGTGTAATTTTCTCTGGCTCGGCCCTGCCTTCCCCCTCTGATGTCACATTGAAAAGTTTCACCATAGCTGAAAAAACCTAGGTGCTGACTGAGATTGGCTGGTTAACCTTCTCCCACACACACACAATTTGTCTGTCAGGCTTGTAGAAGGTGATGACTCACACACACACACACACACACATTTTTTTCTTCGTTTCTGTCACACAAAGAGACACATTCATCTCTCAGCCTCACTCATATATCTATATTTCCTCCTCTTGCTCACAAAGCATCTTCCAATTAGCTCCAATCTAATGACTGAGCGGTTTTGGAAACTTCAGTAGTTTCAACATGATGGCAGGAGGCCTGTTTTTTGGATGTGTGTGTTTCTTTCCCTCTGTATATGAGATGAGTGTGTCTCTTGTGGCAGAGTACAAGCACTATTGGCAGCTGTGTTTATTTGGTTATGAGGACAATAAGCAGAGGGCTCTGTGGAGAAAAAAAAATCAACAGCTCTCAGCTAAATGTTTTGGATGGAAGAGGAAGCACAGGCTTTGATGCGTGGGGGATTCTCTGCATGGGGAGACATATTTCAGCTCGTGGGAGGATGGATGTGCTTATGAGAAATTGAGGCAGGACATAATAATGTCGAGTAAAATGTGTGTGTAAGAATGTGGATGCTCGTCAGTGACCCATACATGTTTAGGACATATGTTTGACTTTGTGTAGCTGGGATTGTATGTCTTCTATAGGTGGCTGGTTGTAAGTAATTAGGGTCTTACAATTTAAATAAATATAAACATATGTAAATGTCATGGAAAGAAGCTGTAAAGGTTTAGCTAAAGTGCTGAGCTGAGTTTGTGCTAATTCAAGCCATGTCAGGAAATTTATTTTCTGTATCTGCTCTACATTTAGAAAGTCCAACTCTTGTGGAGCCTTGTCATTGGCCACTTCCATGCTTCATTCGTGCTGATTGTGGCTATAGTGTCACACCGGATGAGCACGGTTGCATGTTGCAATATGAACTGGAATGGAAGAGCTGCCCCATTCTTATTTGTGCAGCTGGAAAATTTAGTTCAACCAACACTAATAATGTTCTTTAAAATTTTAAGAAGTTAGAAATTGTCTCTTATAAAATAGCCCAAACCCCTATAGCTCTCTGTGTGAGCCCCTCCTTGTGGCTAAAAGAGTTCACTACCCCGTCCACCTTTACAGGTACAATGGTACAGGTAAATTAAAACTGAGAATACACGGTTGATATATGGATAGATAGATGGATGGATGGATAGATAGATAGATAGATAGATAGATAGATAGATAGATAGATAGATAGATAGATAGATAGACAGACAGACAGATAGCCTTTAAAAAGCTCATTGATATAATGTTATTATTAATAATAATACTAATAATAATAATAATGAGAAGAAGATGAAGAAGAAGAAGAAGAATTAAATATTGGGTGCATGTTTGATTCCCATAATCTTTTTTATTGGCCTTTTCAACACTGACATGCTTACAGTGCTTACAAGATATTAATAAAATATGATGTGAAGAAATAAATCAGTATAACTGAATTATATAATATAACATAATGTTTATAAATGCTCAAAATAGAACCTTATAAATAACAATAAAGACAAATGTCGTAATTTAACAAAAATTGCATTTCTATAAAAGGGTCTTATATCATACTAGTCATATGAGTTGGGTTGGGTTGGTTCTGGAATTTCCCATTTTAAATGAATAGTATATAGTGAAGTCCCTGATTTTTTATTTTCATAATATACTAAAAACAACCTCGACTTTTCTTCAGTCACTTTAATTGCCTCTGTACAAAACATACACACAATGTGTAGACAATCAGTCATTAATAGACAATACAGTCCAATTTCACAAATCAAGATCAATCAAATAAAATATGAAATAGCATAAAAAAAACAGTTAAATTAATTATTAACACAAAAAAGGAATAAATAAAGGGAAAATCACAATATAATGAACAATAATAAGTGAATAACTTTAATTCACAGAAAATACTTCTTTAATACTGGCTCTCAGTTTTATATTTTTGGAAAGAGTTAATGTGCACAGAGAAAAAAATGATACCTTCAGACAAGCCTGCGGTGACGTCACGTGAACTGACCAATAGGAGGCGGTCATAATGTGACAGTTGACGCTGGACGAGCAGCAGCAACGACTCTAATGAAAACACCAGAATCAATTATAATTTTTATTTTATTTAAAGGGGAATAAATGACTTTAATCATGGCATCTTTTGATTTAAACGCTGCGTGAGGACGTGGGTCTGTTCTTCTTCTTCTTCTTCTTCTTCTCAGTCGACTGTTTACTTTTTAAACATGGTGAGTTTGACTCTTCCCTTTGAAATAAACTGTAGTTTTTTTTTTTCCTCGTGCCCTTTGTGTCAGTAACCAAAGTTTAACCCGCACACTGCGTTAAAGGACCAACTGCTTTTGTCCACTTCGTCCTGCACAGAGCTGCAGGATTAGGTGATTTAAACGGGCTTTACTCGTGTGCGGGGCTTCGTCTGTTGTGGATAAAATTAGAAACCTGCAGCGGGAGATCCTGTGTCACTGTGGATCTGCAGAGGCCTGAGCAGAAAGTCTGCACTGCTTTACAAATGTGTTGAGAACAAACAAAGAGCAAGAACCTCTCCTGCACTACACCCTGTAGAAATTAGAAATTCAATCTAATTTCATCATATTTGAGCAAATTAACCTGTTAAAGGGATAATGAAGATTCACTCATTATCTACTCATCACTATGCCAATGGAGGGGTGGGTGAAGTGTTTGATTCCACAAAACAGCATTGCAGCCAAATCCAAAACAATTGAGGTAACTGGGGATCAATTCTTCAAACATATAAAAACAACAGACAGAAACATAAAACGCCACCATACTGCTGGAGTCAAATTTGAATGTCAGGGCTTACAGAGATGACACCACAGGAGCATTATGGAGGCATTTTATCTTTTTTATGTTGTTTTTTTACATTTAAGGAAGTGACCACCAGTTACTTAAATTGTTTTGGATTCTGCTGCAACACTGTTTTCCCCTGAAACTCCAAAAGTGTTTTGGGTGAACTATCCCTTTAAGATCGATACACTTGTACTTGCTGCTCTACAATATGTGATTAGTGGAATGACCCTTCTTATTACCTGTGTTCCAGGATGCTGAGAGCCCCCAGGCCTTGTGCGACCTCTGCCTGGCTCAGGTGTGTCGCAGCCTGGACTCCCTGTGCAGCAGGAGAGCAGACGGCTCCATGTGCCTCACCTGGGCCCCGCTCTTCCCACAGGAGATGGCCGACCAGCTGCTTCGTAAGATGGCAACCACAGGTGGGTGAGGAGGACGGAAAAGGCCCCAGGAACATTGGGCTCAACAAAGGAGGGAAACAGCAGCTGCTACAGGACAGTAGTTCTGCTATATGTTCTGATAAGATAAGCGAGGATAAAATAAGATAAGATAATTTACTGCAGCAGATGGTCCGAATGAGACAAGACAACATGTGAAAGTATAAAAATAGAATAAATAAAGAATTTAATTGGATAAAAAATACAGATAATATGTACAGAACATACACCTGTCCCTACAGTTGAAAATATAAGTAAAATGTGGAGAGGATGTATACTGTATTTGTGTATATGTATGAAATGTTATGCATAGTCAAAGTCAACTTTATTGTCCATTCTGCCATACAGGACATAGACAGGATTGAAGACTGAAATGCAGTTTTTCTCTGAACCAGGCGTAAACATTGAAGTATACAACAAATAAGTACACAACAAAAACTCAAGTGACATATTAGTACACAACACAGTCAAAAAGGCATAGGGTAGATAGGATATGAACTGCAGTATATGATTGCAGTGCAAACAGGAATAGTGCTAAATAGATTGCGCAGTGGCTAATGTGCAGATAATCTACATAAATAATAATAATAATAAAATAAAATTAATTTTTTCTACTATAAAATGGAAGAATAGCGACATTTGTCACTCCGTCATCATGTCATGTATTGGTTCACAGTGTACTGTATGCCAGGCTGAGTTGATGGGAAAATTCTCTCCACAAACATAAATGTGGATAAACTGATGCTACCTTTTCCTACAACATCGCTCTGTTTGCTTCTCCCAACAAGGGATACTGAATGACACAACTGTTGGGATTTTCCGAAACTCTAAAGAGCTCCGCCTGCGCCGAGCCTCCGTCCGCTGCTGCCTCGTTTCCACAGAGGCTTTCCACCTAGCTCTCTGCCCTCACCGCCTCCAGGCACTAGATGCCTCCTGGGTCTCTGGGGGCATCACTGGGGCTGACATTATCTCAGGCCTTGCTGCCAACCTGGAGTGCAGGTCCAGCCTGCAGAGGTTGTCCCTCAATGGGCTGCATCTGGACTGGGGGTCTCTGCAGGAAGATGGAAGGGTCCGAGTTGGCTTCAGCTCTCTGCAGGGCCTGAGGACACTAATCGTGGCCAACACGGACCTGACTGATCCTGCCCTGGAGGATATCTGCACTCTCCCTCAGTTGGAGACACTGGATATCTCGTGTAGTGCTGTCTCAAAGCTCACAGCACTTCTTCAGTGCAAGAACACCCTGAGGTCTTTAATCGCCCACTGTCTGCGTCAGCTGGATATGTCACCTGCCAGGATGCTCTTTGTCCTCGGCGAGCTTCACGCTCTCAGGCATCTGGACTTCTCAGATGACCACTTTGCGATGGATAGCAATGATGGGAGAGATGGGGAGGAGACGGTGCAGCAGCTTCTGGAGGGGAGTCCCCAGGTTCTTCCTTCCCTCATTTCTCTTGATATCTCTGGGCGAAAGAGAGTCATGGAAGCAGCAGTCCGAGCATTTGTGGAGGCCAGAGGTGGGCTGGTCTTCTTGGGCCTGCTAGCCACCGGGGTTAGCTCCTGTGACGTCCTTTCTTCACAGGAAAACC